CTAGCGTAGCTCGGGAGAGTGCGTCTAGTAAATTATCGTAATTACTCGGGAGAGATTTACGGTAATAAGAGTGCTCATGATCGGTAGAGAATACTTAGGTGAAATTATAGAAGACATAGCGGGAAGTATTCCGACAATTGGGGAAATCATAACTCTAGACCTCTTTAATCTTGTCTCTAACTCTTAGTATCTTTAGTTGTTAATTTATTATTTTAATTTGTTAATAAATTAGTTAAACACAAGAATCTAAATATCTATAAGTTAGGAACTGTTCAAGCTTGTCTTCTTGGTGATAGTGAACAGTTGTAGCTAAGCCTTAGTTCTCTGTAGGATTCGACTCCAGACTTGTAAACCGGATTATATTTGCAACGACCGCATTGTCCTTTTTATAAGGCGTAGTTGGGCGTGATCAATTATTAATGCGAGTAATCATGGATTTATTAAGAACGACAGTAATTTCAAATAAGCCACGAACAAGTAAAAGTTCCTTTTTGTATTAAGAATTCTCTGGATTCAATATCTATTAATTTTCAATTATCTCAAGTCAGGGAGAGAAAATATCAATACCAATAAATCTCAAGGCAAACAATACAAGCATGCGCAAATCATGCCGAGGACGTACGGCCCGATCCAACAATATTTAAACTGTGCACTACTAGAGAGTCAAATGGCGCGAACCATAGATGCATCTATTTAATCTACCGAGGCGTTCGGCCCGTTCTGAAATTAAACACATACAGACAGTCAATCAAGAATTCAACATGGAACAATTATCCAAAGAAAAGCCAATTCTCTTTTAACAATTTTATAAAAATGAAGTTTAATCCTTTTAGGAATCCATTTACCAATTCGATAGGATTTAAGCAATTCATCTGTCAATAAAGTTACAAATATTCCAAGTATAGCATGCTTCTAGATCCTAGACTACCCGGACTTTCACATGATAGTAGCTATGTACGGACTCTCGTCACCTCGTGCTTACGTAGCCCCCACAATTAGGAGCACATAACCATTTATTTCACCTATGAGGACAATTCCCTCTTACAAGGTTAGAAAGGAGACTCACCTCGCTCCGAAGATCCATAATCGGCATTCCACGCTCTTTCGAAGACTCGAATCGATGCACAATGCTCCAAAACTAGCCAATAATTATAAAAATCCATTAATATACGTTCAATTACTCATTACAATCAGATTTGTGACAATTCCTAACCCCGATCAAAAAGTTGACAAAATTGCCCTCGTGCCCATATGCCCGGATTTCTAAATTTTTCGAACATAAAGTTTACCCATAGTCTCACGAACTCAAATATATAATTTACTCTCAATTTCATACCCAAAATCGTGGTCAAAAATCTAAAATATCCATTTTCTAGGTTCTTCCTCAAACCTCAAGTTTCTACCAATTTTCATGAACAAATCCGAAACAAAACCATGTATTTAACGTCTAATGAGTGGGAACAACTTACCTTAACATGGATTAAGAAAATCTCTCTTCCAAAAGCTCCAAAATCGTCCAACCCGAAGAGGAAAATGAGAGAAATGGCCAAATCCCGATTTTTAAAACACTCACTGCCTCCAGCCCTTTCCGCACCTGCAGTCACTTGACCGCTTCTGCGGTTCCATAAGTGCGGTTCCAATACCAGTTCCGCGATCCTCCTCCAGCTGCCCCAGCCCGCTTCTGCGCGGCACTGACCGCATCTGCGATCACGCATGTGCGGGAATTCCTTCGCACCTGCGGCCTCTGACTCCTTCACTTCTAACCGCTTCTGCGGTTCCCTTCCTCGCTTCTACGGGACCGCTTCTGCGGTGAACCCTCCGCAGAAGCGGTTACACCAGCAACCAAACCCCTTCAGCTCATCCTTCAAGTTCCAATTCGATCCGTTAACCACCCGGAATCCACCCGAGGCCCCTGGGACCCCAACCAATCATACCTACTAGTCTTAAAACACATTACAGACTTGCACGAGGCCTCAAGTCATATCAAATAATGCTAAAATCATGAATCGACCTCCAATCCAAGTTTTATGAACTTTAGAATCTCAAACTTCTACTTTCGACGTTTAAACCTATCAAATTACGTCTGATTGACTTCAAATTTTGCACACAAGTCATATTCGACATTACGGACCTACTCCCACTTTCAAAATCAGATTCCGACCGCGATATCAAAAAGTCTACTTCTGGTCAAACTCCTCAAAAACCTTCAAATTTCTATCTTTAGCCAAATGATTCCAAAATGACCCACGGACCTCCGAATTCACTTCTGATCATGCTACCAATACGAAAATCACCATATAGAGCTATTTCCAGACTCGGAATCCCAAACAAACATCAATAACACTGAAATGCACTCCAACCCAAACTTATTAAATTTCTTCCAAAATGCTAACTTCCACAATAGGCGCCAAAACATTTTCGGGTCTTCCAAAACCCGGTCCGGACATACGCCCAAGTCCAAAATCATCATACGAACCTGCTGGAATCTTCAGATTCTAATTCCGAGGTCGTTTACTCAAATTTCGATCCCAGTTAATTCTTTCAACTTAAAGCTTCCAAAATGAGAATTCTCTTTCCAAATCAACTCCGAACTTCGCAAAATTCAATTCCAACCACGCGTACAAGTCATAATATCTGAATTGAAGCTGCTCATGGCCTCAAACTGCTGAACACATGCTAGAGCTCAAAACGACTGGCCGGGTCATTACAACCGAATTGATGAACGACTTGTTGAAATTAATTATTGTTAAAGATTTGAATACTTCAATTCACCAACTTCATAATTTTTCACACAAGTTGCAACAACAAAGTAACTAATTTTAGAAGAAAATAAGAGACAGATTGATGATTTGGTTAAGAAAAATGAAAGAATGAGGGGGTATTTATAGTTGAAAATAGGAAAAAGTGTAATTATAAAAAGTTTGGGGTTAAAATAAAGTTGGGGTAGGGGGGGTTAAATGGATATTTTATAAATAGCCAACGACTATTTTGGCAGCCATAACGACTATTTTATCAATAGCCAACGGTCAAATTTTTAAAAGAGTTTTTTTTAAACTATAGCTGTTGGGCCCGTTTAGGACCGTTTGGGATTGGTTAGGACCGGTTTAACCGGCCCACTTAGGAGCCAATCCCGGGCCCAAATGGTCCCGGTCCTAACGGGCACTTTCTTTGAACCGGCCCACATGGGCCTCAAACCCCCTAGTCCCGGGCTTAAACAGGTAGGCCCGTTTAGGCCTACTAACCATATGGGCTCGCGGGCCCGGGCTGGGCCCGGGCCTAACCGGACCACTTGCCACCCTTACCTTCAGCTGATACAATATGCCCCAAAAAAGCCACTTTACTCAGCCAAAATTCACATTTAGAAAGCTTCGCGTAGAATTGCCTCTCTTTCAGAATTTGCGTGATAATTCAGATATGCTTATCATGATCTTCTCTATTCTTAGAATAGACTAAAATGTCATCAATAAATACCACCACAAATTGATCAAGATAAGGCTTGAATACACTATTCATTAGATCCATAAATGCAGTAGGAGCATTTGTCAAACCAAATGGCATTACCAAAAATTCATAATGGCCATACCTAGTCCTAAAAGTAGTTTTAGGAAAATCTTGCTCCGTCACGCGCAACTGGTAATATCCATGCCTCAAGTCAATTTTTGAGAATAAGTTGCACCCTTCAATTGGTCAAACAAGTCATCGATTCTAGGCAGTGGGTATTTGTTCTTAATTGTTACCTTGTTCAGCTGTCGGTAATCAATGCAAAACCTAAGGGTGCCATCTTTCTTTTTCACAAATAAAACAGGAGCTCCCCAAGGAGAAATACTGGGATGGATAAAACCTTTCTCAAGAAGTTCTTGCAATTAAGCCTTCAACTTTTTTAATTCAGCTGGAGCTGTTCTATAAGGAGCGGTAGAAATAAGAGTAGTTCCAAGGACAAGATCTATAGGAAATTCAATCTCCCTTTCTAGAGGTAACCTAGGAAGATCATCAGGAAATACATCAGGAAAGTCGCACACGGTTGGTATGTCCTTAAGACTTGGATTCCTCAATCGTGTATCGACTATATGAGCAAGATAGGCATCACAACCTTGACAAATCATCTTCCTTGCCAAGACTGCAGAAATAATGTTAGATGTCAATGATCTTTCTCCTTGAACTACTATATGTGAATATGCAGGAGTTCTAAAAGTCACTTGCTTCAACCTACAATCAACCAATGCATGGTACCTATGGAACCAATCCGTACAAACAATAACATCATAGTCTTAGAAGGGCATTTTAAGCAAGTCGGCAGGGAAGACCAGATTTTGAATCATGAATGGACAATCTCGGTAAATCTTATTAAAAATAGCCTGATGACCTAATGGACTCATGACCAGCACATCAAATTCAAGTCTAACCGATTTGACAGTATCAAGAAATGCAAGTGATGAGAAAACATAAGAGTGCGAAGATCCAGGATCAAATAATGTAAAAACAGATATGCCAAATAAGTGAAATTTACCAACAACCACGTCTGGGCCATCCTGGTCATTCTTCTATCTCATAACATAAACTCGTGTAGTAACTCTCGACCCAATAGCCTGATTAGCTCCACCCAAACCCGTTGCTTGCATATTTCGAGGTCTAGCACCGCTATTAGCTTGAGAATGAGTAGTGACAGGTTTTTGAACTGAGCCCTCTATATGTGTATAAGAAAGAGGATTAGGATTAGGACAATCCTTCACTTTATGATCCATACTCCCACAATTAAAACAAGCACTAGAAGCTCGTCCACATGCACCATAATGATTCTTCCCGCACTGTGCATAAGTAAGTGTATGAGTTTTGCCTTGGCCATAAATTGGAGTACTGGCAGTAGAAAAATTTGACTTATTCTGCTTATGATATGATGATTTATGTGTACTTTCAGTCTTGGAATAGTCAAACTTTCCCTTCTTGGATGGATTGCCATAATCCGAATTACCCTTCTTAAACCTGTTTTCTCTCCTACTAGCTTATTCCTTGTGAATTCTTTCCCAAGTAAGTGCAGCTGAAATTAGTTTGGAAAAATTCTCAAGTCGTAAGATTGCCACAAATTTTCGAATATAACTATTCAAGCCTTCTTCAAATCTTCTGAACTTGTCTCTTTCACCGTCAATAATACCTCCAGCATAGCGAGAAATCCTGAGAAAGTTTTGTTGATATTCTGCAATAGACATACTCCTTTTTCTTAAATTTAGAAACTCTTTCTTCTTAGCATCACAATAGACATAAGGGACATATTTTGCACGAAATGATTTCACAAAGTCATCCCAAGTCAGCATCGAAGGTTTTGCTTTTGCATTTGGCACACTTACCCACCAATCATAGGCATCTTTTTGTAAAAGAGATATAACATACTTAAATTTGGCAGCATTAGTACACTTTAGTTGCTCAAAGACCCTCTCCATGCACTCGAGCCACTCTTCAACTACCGTGGGATCAGTAGCGCCTTCAAATTCAACTCCACCCATTTTTTTATCTTTTCAAAATTCATTTCATTAGGTTCTGACATTGTCCCAGCCAAGTGACGAAAGAATTCAGCCATCTGCTGAAATGGAGGAGTCATAAATGGAGTATTATGACATATTACTCTTGGATTACTGTCCACTTAATTTTCACTAACATGAGATGATTTAGGTCAGGCAAGGGTTCCTCATCTCCTCCCTGAAGGTGAGGTGGAGCATTATAATGAGCTTGACTTTCATCAACGGATTCACTAGCTCTATTCGAAGAGGAGACCATATTAAAATTCCTTTAAAAGATAAGATCACACTACATTAGGGACATGTACATAATGCATATGCACAAGTAATACAACAAATTACATTACACAAGTATTCAAAAATTTATAATCTCTGAGACATTTTCAAGAAAGGAAATAATAACAATTACTAGGTATGATCACAACAACAAAACAAAAAATCCTAGAATCGCAAACCTAGGTTGTGATACCAAAACTCAACCCCTTTTGGAGGGTTCTACTTAGGAAACAAATCTAATTTACTACTTATAAAATATTAAAAAGATATTAGTTAAAAATATTCAGAATAATTTGGTAGCGAAAATAGGCCCATACGAAAACGTTCAAAGTGCAATATTTTATTTTTGAAACTACACTTCATATTTTTATTTTAAATGAATGTCAAAATATAAACATAAGGTGATATAACCCTTCTTGAATAATCAACAGATTAAAGCAACTTCCTAACAAATTTATACTTTCATTCAACATCATTGTAAGTTTGTATTGTACATAAATTTCAAATTATCGGGTATATAAAAAAAAGAAACTAGTTTTCTCCTTTGTACATATTCACAAGACAAAGTGTAAATTCGGCGTATTACAAGACTTGAGTTATTAACACACCCTAACAGTAAAACAAGTGACCAAATTCAAGTTACAAGATTTTGGTCTTAAAATCCAACAAGCCTCCAAATAACATATATAAATGTGACACACACACACACACATATATATATATATCATGTATATATCATGTATATATCCCAAAACTATGCAAAATCAAGGTGCATAAGCAAATGTGATCTCCATAAGTGCTCCCAAAAAAGACTACTTCATAATGGTCGTCTTCAGATTTTATCCCGTACATTACCTACGATAGAAAATAACTATCGCTATGCATAAAACTTAGTGGCGTATAAACTTTGGGCTTGGAGTCATTAAATTCTCCAATTCTTCTTTTCAGTCATAGGTAGCTCAATTTAATATAATTTAAAATAAGTGAACAAATATATTAAACATATCAAATATCAAACTTTGAAGTGTTTCCAAATATCAATAATAATGTTCAAGAGTCGAGAAAGCGTAAACAATCAATCCAAGAGAGTTTACCAAATATATATTTTTCGCCCAATATGTACGTCATGCCATCACACTAAGCATAATCAGATATCAAAATGGACCGAAGCCTCAAATCAAGTAGGGTCAAAACCCAATAGTTAAGAGAATCAAGAACCATATTAAAAATTGTTTCCTAGTTCGTACTTAATACAGACAAGTTTTATAAATTAAGACGAGCTAAAAATCCAAAGTCAAGATGGCAAAAGATCCAAATTAAGAGTCATGCAAAGATGAGTGACAAGGTCACTGCCATAAGAAGGACAAAATCCCAACAAGAATGCAAAATGATCAAACAATCCGTACTAATGGGCGATTTAGCAAAATATCTTACAATACTTGATATAATACGAATATAACAATATAAATTGAAGACAAGAAAAATAAAATATCAGGTTATTTCAAAATATTCCAGCAAGCAAAAAGAGTATAAAGCTTATATACAAACCTTGATGTTTTACCACATAACAATTCAATCACAACTTGGGGACGTTCGAATCGTCTACGCCGTAAACAAACCAAATCCGTCCACTTCCTCAAACATTTACCCTTTGATTTTTCAAGGGTTTATATACCTTAAATACATAATCAAATATCTAAATAAGTTCAGTGATTTAACATGTCAAACTAAACATGATATTGGTGAAGATTTCCCAAAAATATCTGAAACATAAATTCGGACAGTTTCACTATTTCGTGTTGTGGCTCAGTTTTGAAGATCTAAACGGACAAACTAGACCGTATAGTTTTCGTAAAAGTTTTAGATCTATATCTTAGCGTTTCCGAACATCTTGAATTACCACCATATCTATTTTGTACAGAAAGTTATGCTAAAATTACTAACAGTAGTACATGGAATATTTCTAAAACTGAAAATCTGGGCAGCACCTGCCCAGTACTTTCTGATCCCTTTTCGGGTTAATACCAACAAAACTAGATTTTGTTTCCTTCATACGAGTTATAGATCTATGAAATACCTTTCCATAAAGTCTTGGATCACTTAAATCAAAGCTATGTATAAAAAGATATGTAGAAAATACTAATAGTTGTCTAGTGTAAAAACGAGTTTAGAAACTTACCACAAAAGAGAGGAGCAACTTGATCTTCACCAAAAACGAATTTTGCTGGTTGATTTAGTAGAAATTTATGGTGGTTTCATGAAGTTTTTAGAGTCTAAGAAGGAGAGAGGGTAGGTGATTTTGTTTCTTTGTCTTGCAAGAATGAAACAAGAAAGAAGGATATGGAAAAGCAAGTCTTCAAAGTAATATCTAAACTTTGGATAAATATGAATGTGTGCAGTGAAAACCGGGGAACCGATTCCCCCCCACCCATGTAATGCTTCGGAGAAGTGACCACGGAAGCACGAGATCTCGGGTCGGTCACTTCCCTCGAAACCTGTCGATGCCCTAACAAGAATAAACATCGGCTGAGGCCTCGACGAACGCAGGAATTCCCCGAGGAATGCACCCGGGGTCAATCAAATCTATTCAAGCGGCTCGATGCCAGCCCTCATGCGATGCAAAACTAACAGGCTATCACATCTCATTCTTTTTTGTCATATCAAGCATTTCTGTACTAAGTTTGGGCGTCCCCTTTCTATAGAAGGGGGGTCACCAACACCTTGTAAGGCAGAACTCCAATTATCCTACTCAAGTGCAATATTATCTTCTCTCTCTCTCTCCTCTAAATTGCTTATTCCCCTTGGCTCAAAGTCATTTATCTTCGGTCATTCTTCTTATCACTTGGTTGTCACGACCCCAACCCCGATCATGATGGCGCCCAACACACTGCTAGGCAAGCCCGACCATTCAACAACATTATCCCAAATTCTTATTCAGATTATAGATAAATATCACAGAGAATTTACTAAGTCATTACATTCAAGTGTATAATTAATAATAAAATCTGAGGAAGTTCAATTAAAATACCACACCATAGCCTAATAGAATCCGATGTCACGAATATAAGCCTCTAATACAGAATATCCACCTATTACAAGTCTGTCTAGAAAAAATACGGAATAAAAGATAGAGATAGA